GATTCCTAAAGATATGTTAACTCAGTTGTCTTTTCATATCCTCTGTGCTTGTAACAATATAAGTGTATTTTCATGGATTGCAGTTTTCAGATTTGCAGAGGGGCTGGGCATTTACAGTTCTGTAGACACCTATTAAAATGCATGCTAATTGTACTGTACAAGCCTGCAACAGCACTATTCATTTGCCTGCACTGAAACAATTTCATGTTGCATGGTTTTCAAAACACTGATTTGACCTTGTGGGATTACACAAATATTTAAGTGTGCATTTAAGTCCTTGTAATCAAAGCTGGTGGATTAATATGACCAACACTTTCAAATATGAATTACTTATAAAAACCAAAGCTATTAGTAAGAAGTACCATATGCTTTAAAAAAGCGGCTTGCACTTTTTCCTGTATCAGAGCATATTCTGATGCTGTAAGTGCAGTAATTCAGTGCTTAGTCATTTCAAAACCATTTATAGAGTTTGCTTTAATTTCTCCTGAATATTTTCTTGCAGCCACTGTCAGTCAATGCGTAGTTGGTTTTTGTTCTGTTGTTATGCAAAAACACATGGAGACATTTCTGTATGAAAACTGAGAAAAACGAAGCCTTCCTGGACGACATTTATTTTTGGTGGAAAATACATTTGATGATAAAAAATTGCATGAGCCAAACTGTTCTTTTCAGCATACTGAGTGCACTGGCGACAGCAAAAGGCCATTCTCTGCTTCTCAGACACAAAATGTGCACAAAGAGCTACAGCTGGATAGGGTGCACATCTTAAATCATTGGTTGCTGATTTGTTTTCAAGCTATGATCCAATACAAGCTTGATTACTACTACTTTATGCTATTTTCATGTATTGAAAATGGAATAGCTTTTCTTACAGTCTGCTAAAGAAAAGATCCAAATGCCATTTAGCACCACTGTGTGGTTAGCATTGTAATAGCTTTCTCTCTCTCAAAAAAAGGAAAACAATATCAGTAAAAACAAGGGAAAATGTCTGACTTTAGGATAGTGCTGCATACAGTGGTCTATAAGAGTAAGAAATTTTAATATATTAGGAATAGAATATCCATTTCTTCCCTTGTCTGGTACTATTAAATACATATTTGTTTTTACGTTTATAAAGTATCTGTCATCCTGTCTGATTGTTTCAGCAAACTACAGTGAGTATAAGCTACAAGAAGCTGTGTGACAGAAGGGAACCACCTCCTCTGTACCAGAGTGTAGTGGCCACAAGTGGGACATGAAGTAGTGCTCCCAGGCAGAAAGGGAAAATGTGTCAGTCCCAGGCAAACTCCTGCTTTTATTGAAACTGATAAGAAATCTGTAATGGCCACACCCAACAGAAGAGGAGAACAGGAGGATCCAAGCTTCACTGAACAGTTGCGCTAAATTTATTAAATTAGAGTTTATAGGATAAGCCCATTGTGTGCAGAAGCCTCTTAATTGGCTCAGCATGAGTTAATCCAGAAACAGAGCATGGCCTAAGCACTGAGATTGGCTCAGATAATACTTTACTAATTTATGCAGTGTGTCATTAAAACCCAGGAAAAAAAATGGGTTTAGGCTTCACCTGGTATGATCCTACGTGGCTGCACTACACTGGGCAAGCTTCTCCTTGATGGTCAGTGCAGGCTCAGGGAACATCTGTGTCTTATTTTTCCTAAGCTGTGTACCACTGCTAACTGGTAAGGTCGCAAAGCTGTATCCATGAAATCACAGCATGGCAGAGAGGATGTAGCACTGCATGATGAGAAACAGTAACTTCAGTGATGGTAGAATAACAGAAAACAAGGGGACGAGGAGCAGACCAGTAGCTGCAGGCAGGTATTAGGAGCGTGTGCTACCTTGTAACCTCAGGGGCCACTTTTAAAAAGCCTTTAATTGGAAAGAGCAAGTAGAAGTTTGACTGCTGACTAAGATGAGTTATCTTGCTCATGGGACAGCCCATTTATGTGGTACTGGTACAGTGCTGTAGTGTCAGAGCAGTCTGACAGCATCTCTACACCACAACAGCACGCATAAGGCTGACTCCTGACATCCCTCAGCTGGAACTGAGTTACTGCTACTCTACTATCCAGACTGTACACACTGCTTAATCCACCCCCTCATTCTCCAGAGGCAGGTAACACCCACTGCAGGTGTGTGTATACGCCCTGTCTGCCTATAATCAAAACTCATGGGTTTGCGTGAGTGGGGAATGTGATGGATAGTTCTACATTTTGAGGAGGAAGACCAGGCAGTACTGAGTCTTTCAGTGCAGGCAGAAAGTGGTGACCTAGATGCAGATGCAATCATAAAGACCGTGGCAGCCACAGAGAAGAATGACGGAAAGAATGCGGAAGGGGAGATCTTCAGATTTTGCAGTCTCCAGATACAGCTGTTGGGTTTGTTTTTTCCTGGAACAGGGAAAGGCACCTGCAGAAATGGGTAAGATGCTTGAGAATAGCAAACAGCTGATCCCCTGGCATTGGTCGGCTTCTCCCCTTCTCCAGATGCAAATTGTACATATATTTTTCCCATTTCCCATCAAATCTAATTTTTTACTGTGCATTCTCAATTCTGTAATTTATGAATGTTCCTGGTTGATCCGGAGCTTGCTTTAATCAACCAGCCTGCTCTATGTACCTGTTACTTCCTTACACTGTTGAAAATCCACTGCAGAAGCGCAGTTGCTGAAACATGTGAATGAACAGCAAAGAGTCTGATGGTGATATTTCACAAAAATACATAGATGTTCAACCCATCTTCAAGGGGAAAGTGTATCCAGGTTTTGAGACAGGCACACATGACACATTTGTACAACACTAGTATGAAGATAAGACTAAAAGAATGTGCACTTCTTCTCAAACCAGTGCTGCTCTCTGTAACTCTACATCTGTCCCAGGGCTTACAGTCCCATCCCAAAATATGGCCTTTCTGTCACTACAGGTGTGGATCATGAAACATTATCACAAACATTACTATTGTATCTCGTATGTGTGGATAAAAAGCAGAAATTTCTGGAGTTTCCGGTCCTGCTGTCCTGCTTCTTAATGAAGCAGGGTAAACTGACATATTTCTTTTCCCACCCTTTCTGTGTTTCTCATCAGAATTCATTCTGTCTTTCAGCCCATTTCTTTTTTCTTTCAATTCTTTATTTTTCTATCTATATCTATCTATCCATCTGTCCATCTATTTAATACCTAAATTTAGATGTAGATACATCCATACAGTAGCACTTAACTTCTGCCTTGAATATGGGAAATGGTAATACTTCAAAATGTATTTATTTCTATACACAGGGGTATGTATGTGCTTTCTTAGCCAGACTAAATAAGCCTGTTCATGGTACTTCCAGAGTTGCAAGATAAAGTGATTTGTCAGTATGTTATTTGATTTGGGGATTTGTAGAATGACTTTGCTGCACACAGCTGTGTATATGCTGATAGTGCTTCACCATGCGATTATATGGAGCAGCTCCTAACTGCAGCGTAGGAAAAGGCAGATAAGAACCAGTAGGGGGGCCAAATACATCTGTTCTGTCACTGGCACTTAGAATATCAATTAGAAATACTCCTCTAATTGTTGAACAGTTCACAGTTAATGAGACATTGCCTTAATATTAGTAAAAATACTCTTTACTGTGAAAAAAATTCATAACTTTTGTAAAATAAAGCCTTATTCAAACTTAGCTTTCTGAATAAAATTATTTTTATAGAAGGAATAAATATTTCCATTGGTTATTTAAAAAAACCCAGAACTTATATGAAGTCATTCCATTAAGATCTGATTAATTGAAAGAAGTTCAATAATATTACAGGTTTTTTTTTTTTTCTAAAGGTTCAAACATTCTTTATATTTGTACCCTTACCAGCATTCCTGATGTTAAATGAAAGTAGGACTGAGAACTGTCAGACATTGATTACGTAACAGCAAAATATTTTTAGGAAAAACAATAAGCCAGCTAAAATACTATGTAGACCACTCATAACCTTCACAGATTTTAGTGGTATCTACAAAAAAGAAATGCAAAGAAATGCTATTTTAACATCCTTATAACTAAAAATTCAAAAGGTTTTTCCTGAGAGCTAGTCAGACTTTCAGTTCCTCTGTTTTCAGGCAGACTCTGCACATATCAGACACATGACAAAATTTGAGACTGTCATTAACTGTCTATATGAGTCAAAACTGAGAAGATCAGAACTGATTAGGAGACTCTAGCATGGACTCCCCATAAACACAATACATTGAACCCATACTAATATTTTTTTATGAAACTACATCCTAGGCTTATCATTTGCAACATTTCCTATCTTTCCACAGATGTTTCACTGGCAGTTTAGCCTTTCTTATATTATAAGACTAAATTCTGCTATTTCTTTCTCTGAAGATGGCTCAGCATTTTCAGCCTGTCTCTTCTTCCTTTGAGTGTAAGCTGTGCTTTGCATTGGCCTCCTATTGGTTAACCTGTACCTATGTCATCTCACCCATAGAAAGACAGAGAATGGGTTGTTCTGAGGTTACAGGAGGAAAGCTTTTTCCTTTCTTGGGGTCAAATGGTGTTTTCAAAGATACACCATGGCATTACCTCATAATGCTGGGTGCAAAGAAGTAATGTAGCCACTTTATCCAACTTCTGGGTAGCTCTGCAGTAAAATACGCTTCCACGCTTAATTTTGACTGTTTCTTCTTAGCCTTAATTTCTTTGTCTTACTGTCAGTCCAGTCAATCATGAAGATGCAACTCATACTGGCTTTTACTGGGAATTCTGTCTGTAGGAGGATGGTTGCGTGTGGTAGTGGATTGATGAGTAGTACTTGTCTTTCAACACTGATTATTTCTTGGGCATATAGACTTGGATGGCTAATATTAAATCGCCAGCTCAGAAAGGACTGACCATCCAGTCTATTAAAATTGCCAAGTCTTTCATAATAATTTAAAATTAAATACTAGCTGTTCAGCTAATGTAAGTCAAGGTAAGTCGACTGATTTTAATGGAACTATTTCAGTTTATACCAGCCAGTCAACTGGCCAATTATCTCCTGTTGTGATAAGGACAGAAAACGGCAGAATTTAAATCTATCCTAGCTGTGACAGATGACTGGAAACACAGCGGTAATGATGACTGGGGAAATAAATGACAGACACGGAAATATTCTTGCTCATACACTTGTGTTTCTGCTCTTTTCTAGACAGCATATCCTTTCCCGTTAGAAAATTTCCAACCTGACAATTATAGGCAGAAACCACTAGGTGCCAGTGTTACCCAGACATGGGGAAAAATCCTTTGTACGTAGTATTTAAAACATGAAAGCCACTGCAGCTAAATCCTTTAAATGAAAATAAAGCATATATGTCTTTTCAACTAAATAAAACTGCATTGTTCTTGAGATTATTACTTTTATAAAAAGAAAGGCACTAAATTCATGCACATTGACAGAAACCTAGACCAAAAATATGTGATTGAAGGATTCATTTCCATTAAAAAAAAAAAAAAAAAAGATAGCTACACAAAAGCTTCTGTGCTGCCTTCAGGACCTTAGGGATTACACCTAGAATGATAAGGCAGACTCAAAGTCTGCGTTTTTCAACATATGTACTGCTCAAACGTATAAGGTGAAGAGCAGTTCACTGCCAAGATAGATGTTTTAAGGGAAAAACTTGGTTCAGATCAAGTTTGAATCCATATAGCTAAAGTTTGTTTAGACCCATTGGTACATATCAGAGTTTTTATCTGGGCTCATTTACATCATTGTCTTGGTCCTCTGAGAGCTTTCGCCGCTAAAAGAAATTGAAATCTTCTGTTTAAGGAACTGGATCAGCTAGAGATGACTGCCTATGCATGGGAGTTGTGAATGCAAATCTCTGGTTAACCTGCACACAGCTCATTTGCAAGAGATGGATCTCACTAATTTAACTTCAGGTATCTACAGTGTAACTGTTTACATCCATGCCAGTCATCGTCATTTTTTTTTAATGTGGAGAAACTGTCGTTTCCTGGGTATGATTGATCCAGCCTATTTCAGAAACCACCTTAGCATGAGATGAACTGCAAAGCAAGCTTACATGATTAGCTCAGGAGCTGAAGTTTACACTGAAGGCATCTTAAGTTATGTCAGATTAATGCTACCAAAATGATTTAGCAATGTTTGTTTTCTAGTCATATCTGAAGTTCTGCTTTCGTTCTTTCTACAGCCATTAGACTTTGAAACAAAAAAAGCATACACTTTTAAAGTCGAGGCCTCCAATTTCCACCTTGACCATCGATTTCACTCGGTGGGTCCATTCAAAGATACTGCCACTGTGAAGATAAACGTGTTGGACATGGATGAACCTCCTGTTTTCAGCAAGCCTACGTACGTAATGGAGGTTTATGAGGACACGCCTGTGGGGACCATTATAGGAGCAGTGACAGCACAAGACCTCGATGCTGGCAGCAGCTCAGTTCGGTAAGAAAGCTTTTCCTCCTTCAGCAGCTCTCAGACAGCCCAAGTGCTGCTGACAGTGCAGCTCAGAGGCAAAGAATATGAAGGTGTAAAATGTTCCCAGTCTGTCACTCTAGCAGATAACTGCTGCTCTGAAAAATGTTGAAAAGAGATGCTAGCTTGGGTGGGTTATGTGAAAAACTATGTTAAACGCTGACAGCTTTTTATCATACAGATTGTATAAGTTACCATGCACTGACATGACTTCAGAGATGGTGTGCTCAGAGTAAGGAAGTAAAGACATTGTTTTGCCTTGTATCTGGGGCTTCCATGTAAGTGGCTCTGAAGTACAGTAGTGAAAAAGGAGGTTGTACATGCTACGTCTGTGTTATATATCTCAACGCGTGACTCAGCACTTCCCCTTTCACAAGAACCGCTCACTCTCTACGTCTGACAGATAACAAATGCTTTGATAAATGTTTTCTACATCTTTCTTGGCTTGGCTAAAGCTGTGGGACCGTGATTGCTGACCAACATGGCTGTGTTCACAATACTTCAGGACAAGTAAACCCCTGCCAGCAAAACCTCTCGCTTGCTGGTGTAGGGTTTCTTCCCTGAAATAAAAGGGAGTGGAGCTGTTATACAAAGGTAATGTATTGATTTTGCGGATGTGTTTCCAGCCACATTAGAAACTATAAGTGAACGAGGGTGATGTACCAGTAAGGAAGCTCCTGTGCCGACAGGGTCTAAGATGGAAGCAGTCATTATGCATACTTCCAGTACCAATTCATGCTTGAGTTTCCTGACTTCAGGAAATATTTTTATTCCCAGACTTTCATGACCAATATTGCAGACATAATGGGAGTCATCAATCTTTGAATATTAATGTTTATCAAGATGATCTGTGATGGAACAGGAAAATGCCCCTAGCGCCTACCAAGTGCATACACATTCAAGCATATTTGACTATAAATTTGATTTGGACTTTTTAATCCATATTTATTATCTATTTGTATTTTGACTCAGTACTTATATTCTCAAAATGTGCAATAAACATGCTGGATACTATGTTGTAATCATGTTCAAAAATCTAACATGCAACGGTGACTGTTTAGCTCTTGATTTATCAGTTCACTGTTTATTACTGCTTAAAACTATTAGTAATGTTGTTTTGCTATTTTTTTTTAATTCATTCTTTATTCTTTTCTAATACAGAAATTAATTTGTTCATGTATCTGT